AAATGGTTGGAAAGTCTGGAGGAATTAAGAAATATAAAGATACAGTTACAAGGTCTAGTCTAAGTTTAACTGGAGTGTTGTGGAAGAATTATTTGCTTGAAGAGATAATAACTGAAAAAGCCCAAAACTGATGAAAGACATCAACCTACAGATTTCAGAAATCCCAACAAGACACCAAGCAGGATAACTAAAAAGAAATCTTCCAAACTCTAACTATAATGTGACAAAAAATAATTTTTTAATTAAAAAAAAATTCACACCTAAACATAGTAAAACTGCTGAAAATTCTAGATAAAACTCTTAAATGCAGTCAAATAAGCAGATTACCTTCAAAATATCAACCATTACATTGATAGTTGAATTTTCAATACATACAAGCCAGAATACAATGCAAGGATAAATGTAATGTGCTAACAGTAAACAACAACTAACCTAAGATCTGTCCTTGGAAAATACCTTTTAAGAATCATGGTCAGCTGGGTGTGGTGGCTCATGCCTATAATCCCAGAACTTTGGGAGGCCAAGGCAGAAGAATCACTTGAGGCCAGGAGTTTAAGGCCAGCCCGGGCAATAATAAGATCCTATTTCTACAAAAAACACAAAAATTAGCCAGGCATGATGGTATGTGACTGTGGTCCCAGCTTCTCAAGAGGCTGTGGCAGGAAGACTTCTTGAGCCCAGAAGTTTGAAGCTGCAGTGAGCTATGATCATGCCACTGCACTTCAGCCTGGATGACAGAGCGAAACACTGTCTCCAGAGGGGGGAAAAAAAGAATGATGGTGAAATAAAGGCATTTTCAGACCAAAACAAAACAAAAATAATGAAGGTCTGTCTTACCAGCAAACCAGTGCTAAAGGAAATAGGAATGTTCTTTAGGAGGTCAAAAAAAGTGATCTAAGGTAGAAGGTCATAAATGAAGGGAGAAACAGCATCAGAAATGGTAAGTAACTATGCAGATGAATCTAATGAATACTAACTTCAAAAAAACAGTAATAACAATCAGTTGTGGGTAAACATATAGAGATTTAAAATACATGCCAACAACAATGAAAAAATTATTGAGGGAAGGAACAGAAATAAAGTATTTGATGGTTCTGTGATTGGGATGTACCTTATAATCTACACAGTAACCACCAGAAAAATAATAAATATACAAGATTCCCCAATCAGAAAGTAAAAAAAGGAATAAGGAAATTAATTATTGGCCAGGTACAGTGGCTCACACCTGTAATCCCAGCACTTTGGGAGACCAAGGCAGGTGGCTCACTTGAGCTCAGGAGTTCGAGACTAGCCTGGGCAACGTGGTGAAAGCAAACTAAAAATAAAAAAATTTGTTGGGTGTGGTGGTGAGTGACTGTAGTCCCAGCTACTTGGGGGGCTGAGGCAAGAGGATGGCTTGAGCCTGGGATATTGAGACTGCAGTGAGCCAAGATCATGCCACTGCACTCCAGCCTGGGTGACAAAGCAAGATCCTGTTTCAAAAAATAAAAATAAAAAACAATGATTTATAAAGAAGGCAAAAAAGAACAGGAAAATGCATAGATAACATGACACAGAGTGCACTGTGTGAGGGTGGGTTTAAATTAAGATATGTAAGTAATTACACTCAATATAAATGGATTGTAAGTTCCAGTGAAAAGACAAAGATAGCTAGACTGAGCTTTTTTTTTTTTTTTGAGACAGAGTTTTGCTCTTGTTGCCCAGGCTGGAGTGCTGGAGTGCTGGAGTGCAATGGCACGATCTCAGCTCACCGCAACCTCCGCCTCCTGGGTTCAAGCCATTTTCCTGCCCCAGCCTCCCAAGTAACTGGGATTACAGGTGCCTGCCAGCATGCCCAACTAATTTTTGTATTTTTTTTTTTTTTTTTTTTTTTTTGAGACGGAGTTTCACTCATGTTACCCAGGCTGGAGTGCAATGGCGCGATCTCGGCTCACCGCAACCTCCGCCTCCTGGGTTCAGGCAATTCTCCTGCCTCAGCCTCCTGAGTAGCTGGGATTACAGGCACGCACCACCATGCCCAGTTAATTTTTTGTATTTTTGGTAGAGACGGGGTTTCACCATGTTGGCCAGGATGGTCTCGATCTCTCGACCTCGTGATCCACCCGCCTCGGCCTCCCAAAGTGCTGGGATTACAGGCGTGAGCCACCGCGCCCGGCTAATTTTTGTATTTTTAATAGAGACGGGGTTTCACCATGTTGGTCAAGCTGGTCTGGAACTCCTGAGCTCGTGATCTGCCTGCCTCGGCCTCCCAAAGTGCTGGGATTATAGGAGTGAGCCACCTCGCCCAGCCAGCTAGACTTCAGTTTTTAAAAACAACTATATCCTACTCATAATATCATATCTCTAACAGAAAGGAGGAGAATACCATGCAACACCAAAGAAAGCTTATTTAGCTATACTAATATCAGACAAAGTAGACTTTAAAAGCATGACTAGAGGTAAGAAGAGATACTTCATAATGATGTTACAAAGAACCAAAAGGCTGTAACATTTCTAAATGTATAGGTACACTAACAATACCTCCAAATGTACTAATCAAAAACTTAGAAGAACTACAAGGAAAACCAGTCAATCCACAATTTGACCAGTATATTTTAAACACACAATTCTCAGTAATTGATAAAACAAACAAACAAACAAACATTACAACGGCTAAAAAAAAAAAAAAAAAAAATCAGTAAGGCTACAGAGGATTCAAACAAGATTAACACACTTAACCTAACCTAACAGACATATATAGAACTCTGCACTCAGTGGCTAAACAATACATATTATTTTAAAATACACATGAAACATTTGTAAAAGCTGACCATATGCTGGACCCTAAAACAAATCTCAAGGAATTCCAAAGAACTCAAACCGTAAAATGTTATTTAACCACGATGCAATAAAGCCAGAAATCAAGAAAACAAAATTCTAACGTTTGGAAATTAAGAAATATATTTTTATCAACCAATGCATTAAAAAATAATTATGAAAATGAGAAAACATATGGAATTAAATAAATATGAATATACTACATATCAGAACTATAGAGGAAAACTTATGCCCATTTTAAATGCATATATTAGAAAGCTGAAAATTGATGAAAGAGGCATTCATCTAAAACTGAAAAAAATAGCAAAATACATCAAAAGAAAGTAAAATGAAGATAATCGTAAACATCAGAAATTAATCATAAACAAAACCATACAATGAGGTGCCCAAAAGCAAAACTATTGCGATAATAATACTAAGATGATGTTTGCCTTTTTGCTAAGTTCACAAATGCAACAGTGGATATACTGCTGGAACCCCATTATGAATCAAGGCAATGACATCAAACTATTATTAGTCAATGTATTACTGACTGCCACACACTTGCAGTTGAAGAAAGAAAAAGACAGTTGCACTAAAAAATGTGCTTCAGGAAGCAGTAAAAATTATTTAGTAAATTCTTCATGTCTTGAAAATAAATATCCAGTGACAAAAAGGGAAAACACCAAACATCTGTCACAAAGTAAAATAATCAAGAAAAAGCAGTTTGTGATTGAGTTGCTAGCTGAACTAGGCACCTTTTTCATAGAACACCATTTTTACTTGAAAGAACAACTGTTAACTATATGTATCAAGGCATAGGTATTTGGCAGACATTTTCTCAAAAACAAACATAGTGAGCAAGAAAAGCAACTGATAACATTTGTTGCCAAGATCAAATTTGAATTTTCAAGCAAGAATTTGGAATGTGCAAACAGATCTACTACCTTAAGCCTGACAGCATCCCCATACTTAGGTACTTCTTCTGATGAGATTAGAGGTGATTTTAACCAAGGTACTCTTTGGTATCACACAATAAAATATGCTAATATTTGGAAGAATTGTTTAACTCAGTAGACTTAACTTTCCAAATCACCAAAGCATGATGTTACAAAATTATACATGAGCAAAAGATTCCAAGACCAATAGGCTTAAATGTACCAGAGCAAGAAATATGCAATCATATAATTTAAGATTCCACACTGCAACTACCCTTAAAACAAAAACAAAAACAAAAACTTACTAAGATCTGCTGTAATATCAAACAAGGTTATCCACAAAAATCTGAAAAAGCTATTAAAATATTCTTCCTCTTTCTAACTGTATACATATCTGTGTGAGACTATACTTTCTTCTACTACTACAACCAAAACATACTACAATAGACTGAATGCAGAAGTAGATGTGAATATATAATGTCTTCTTTTAAGGCAGGCATTTAACAAAAACTTGAAAAAAATGTAAAATGATGCCATTCATCTATTTTTCCTTTTATGTTATTTATATTAACATGAAGTAATTTTATTTTTAACAAACTAATTTTAATTTCTCAGCTTCAATTTCACAACTGAGAAAACCTTATAATTTATATTAACAATATAACCTACATCAAGCTCTTTTAAGTCCTCAATATTTTTAAGAATGTAATGGGGTTCTGAGACCAAGAAGTTTCAAAAATGCTGCAACAGAGAACAATCAAAGCCAAAAGTTGATTCTTTGAAAATAATTTAAAAAGCCATAACATCTGGCAAGAGTGATCAAAAAATATTTAAAGCAGAAATCACAAAAAATGACATTAAAAAGAAAAAAGAAAATTATCACTACTGATACTGTTCACATTAGGAAAATAAGATTATTTCAAGGTTTTACTTTATTTTCATGCTAATGAATGTTCAAATTTATTAAAATGCTAAAAACCACAACTTACCAAAATAGGCAATTTATAAAATATAGAATAAATAGTCTTATTAACAATTAAAGAAATAATTAAAACTTCCTTGCAAAGGAAGATTCAGATGGCTTTTCTAGAGAATTATACCAATCATTTAAGGAAGAAATAGAAATATTATGTAAATTCTTCTGATTAAAAAAAAGTAGAAAAATTCTCCAGCTCCTTTTATAAAGCCAGCATAACCTTAAAATAAAAACCAAACAAAGGCATTGTAAGAAAGTAAAATTGCAGATCAATTATGCCAACGAACAAAGATGCAAAAATTCTGACCAAAATTTTAACTGAATATAGCAATTTCTTTAAAAATACCATGACCAAATGAGTCATCAAAAAGTAGGTTGCGGGGCGGGAGGATCCAAGATGGCCGTTTAGGAACAGCTCAGGATTGCAGCTCTCAGTGAAAGCGCAGATGGTGAGTGGATGCGCATTTTTATTGCCCACAGACTAGGCAATTCCCAGACATAGGAGCTCCACAGGTCGCCAGCGAGGCTGTTTCCGCCAGTGCAGCTGTGCCAGCCGGCCCGCTGCTTTGCCCCGCGCAGCTGCTTTGTCAGCGCCCTGGAGCAGCGGTTCTCTGTACAAAATACACCAGTCCGGGTGCCCTTTTGGCTGGCGATTGGAGCCACGGGAACTCGCCCATTCATCTGTTTAAAAAGGGGACTGAGCAGGGAGCCAGGAAAGTAGATTCCAGGACAAAAAAAGCACCACAAATCTCAGTGCCGCTGTTTAAGCCAGCACAGTGAGTTGACACACGGGAAAAAACACACACCGCGGTGCCTCAACAGGTGACAGGAACACCAACTTAAAAAAAAAAAAAAAGCTCTGAGGCAGGGAGCCAGACAATCAGGATCGGCTGGTCCCACCTCCACAAAAGAATAGCAACCAGAAACTCTCTGGATTGAGAGTTTCACAGCAAGCGTAGCTGAACCCAGAACAGTCCAGCTCTGTAGGGGAGGGGAGTCCGACATTACCGAGGCAGCCGGCCACTACGGAGGTAGTCAGCCAATGCTGAGGCAGCTCACCGTTGCCAAGGCAACCCGCCATTGCTGAGGCAGCCCACCATTGCCAAGGCAACCCGCCACTGCAGAGAGGCTCCGCCTTAACAGAGGCGGGCCACCATCGCCAAAGCAGTTCTAACTACACCCCTATAAACAGGACTGCAGGGAAGTTCACTTGGCAGCTGGGCGGAGCCCACAGCAGCTCAGCAAAGCCTCTACAGGCAGACAGTGACTAGGCTGCCTCCTTGCTGGACAGGGCAGCTCTGAAGGAAAAAAAAAAAAGAGAAGGCAGCAGCATAACGGAAACTCATAAAGCCCTATATCCCTGGGACAGAACACCTGGGAACAAAAAGCAGTTTATGAGTTCTGCTGCAGCAGACCTAAACGTACCTGCCCAGCAGCTCTGAATGAACAACAGAGCTCACAGCTCAGCATTTGAGCTCCTATAAAGAAGAGACCGTCTCCTCAAGCAGCTCCCTGACCTCTATATATCCAAAGAGCCACCTCATGAAGGACAGATCAGATTGACACTAGGCGGGTCTCCTTCTGGGACAAAGATAGCAGAAGAAGAAAACTGGTAACAACCCTTACTGTTCAGCAGCTGCTGCAGGTGAACCCCAGGCAAGCAGGGCCTGGAGTGGACCTCAGCAGACCTACAGCAGAGGGGCCAGACTGTCAGAAGGAAAACCAAGAAACAGAAATAACCTCATCATCAACAAACAGAACGTCAATCTGAAAGATTTGAGACCCAATCTGAAAGCCAGCAACTACAAAGTCGATGGGTGGATAAATCCTTAAAGATGGGAAGAAACCAGCGCAAAAAGGATGAAAACACCCGAAACCAGAACACTTCTCCTCCTACAAGGGATCACAACTCCTCACCAGCAAGGGAACAAGGTTGGATGGAGAACGAGTGTGATGAAATGACAGAATCAGACTTCAGAAGGTGGGTAGTAAGAAACTTCTGTGAACTTAAAGAACATGTTCTAACCAAATGCAAAAAAACTAAGAACCTTGAAAAAAGATTTGACGAAATGCTAATGAGAATGGACAAAATAGAAAGGAATATAAGTGAATTGATGGAGCTAAAAAACGCAACACGAGAACTTCACGAAGCATGCACAAGTATCAACAGCCGAATTGACCAAGCAGAAGAAAGGATATCAGAGGTCGAAGATCAACTCAATGAAATAAAACGGGAAAGCAAGACTGGAGAAAAAAGGGTAAAAAGGAATGAACAAAGTCTCCAAGAAATGTGGGACCATGTGAAAAGACCTAATCTACTTTTGATAGGCGTACCCGAATGCGACGAAGAGAATGAATCCAAGCTGGAAAATACTCTTCAGGATATTATCCAGGAAAACTTCCCCAACCTAGCAAGGCAGGCAAACATTCAAGTCCAGGAAATACAGAGAGCACCACAAAGATATTCGTCAAGAAGAGCAACCCCAAGGCACATAATCGTCAGATTCACCAGGGTTGAAATGAAGGAGAAAATACTAAGGGCAGCCAGAGAGAAAGGTCGGGTTACCCACAAAGGGAAGCCCGTCAGACTCACAGCAGAAACCCTACAAGCCAGAAGAGAGTGGGGGCCAATATTCAACATCCTTAAAGAAAAGAATTTCAACCCAGAATCTCCTATCCAGCCAAACTAAGCTTCATAAGTGAAGGAAAAATAAAATCCTTGGTGAACATGCAAGTACTCAGAGATTTCATCACCACCAGGCCAGCTTTACAAGAGCTCCTGAAAGAGGCTCTACACATAATAAAGGAACAACAAGTACCAGCCACTCCAAAAACATGCCAAAAGGTAAACAGAATCAACACAATGATGAATCTGCATCAACCAAAGGGCAAAACACCCAGCTAGCACCAAAATGGCAGTATCAAATTCACACATAACAATATTAACCCTAAATGTAAATGGACTAAATGCCCCAATCAAAAGACACAGACTGGCAAATTGGATAAAAAGCCAAAACCCATCAGTGTGCTGTATCCAGGAAACCCATCTCACATGCAAGGATACACAAAGGCTCAAAATAAAGGGATGGAGGAAGATTTACCAAGCAAATGGAGAGCAAAAAAAAAGCAGGAGTTGCAATTCTCATCTCTGATAAATTAGACTTTAAAGCAACAAAGATCATAAGAGACAAAGAGGGACATTACATAATGGTAAAAGGATCAATGCAACAAGAAGAGTTAACGATCCTAAATATATACGCACCCAACACAGGAGCACCCAGATACATAAGGCAAGTTCTTAACGACTTACAAAGAGACTTAGATTCCCACACAATAATAGTGGGAGACTTTAACACCCCATTGTCAATATTAGACAGATCAACAGGACAGAAAATTAACAAGGATATTCAGGACTTGAACTCAGACCTGGACCAAGCAAACTTAATAGACATTTACAGAACTCTCCACCCCAAATCCACAGAATATACATTTTCTCAGCACCACATTGCACCTACTCTAAAATTGACCACATAATTGGACATAAATCACTCCTCAGCAAATGCAAAAGAATGGAAATCGTAACAAACAGTCTCTCAGACCACAGTGCAATCAAGTTAGAACTCAGAATTCAAAAACTAACCCAGAACTGCACAGCTTCATGGAAACTGAACCACCTGCTCTTGAATGTTGACTGGATAAACAATGAAATGAAGACAGAAATAAAGATGTTCTTCGAAACCAATGAGAATGAAGACACAACATACCAGAATGTCTGGGACATATTTAAAGCAGTCTCTAGAGGAAAATATATAGCAATAAGTGCCCACATGAGAAGCAAGGGGAGATCAAAAATTGACACCCTATCGTCAAAACTGAAAGAGCTAGAGGAGCAAGATCAAAAAACCTCAAAGTCTAGCAGAAGACAAGAAAGAGCTAAGATCAGATAAGAACTGAAGGAGATAGAGACACAAAAAACCCTTCAAAAAATCAATAAATCCAGGAGCTGGTTTTTCGAAAAGATCAACAAAATAGACCACTAGCCAGATTAATAAAAAAGAAAAGAGAGAATAACCAAATTGATGCAATAAAAAACGATAAAGGGGATAACACCACAGATTCCACAGAAATTCAAACCATCATCAGAGATTATTACAAACAACTCTATGCACATAAATCAGTAAACCTGGAAGAAATGGATAAATTCCTGGACACTTGCCTCCTGCCAAGCCTAAACCAGGAAGAAGCCGAAACCCTGAACAGACCCATAACAAGGTCTGAAGTTGAGGCAGCAAT